AGGATTGCTGGATCACACGGTAGCTCTATTTTTAATTTTTTGAGGAACCTCCATACTGTCTTCCACAGTGGCTGCACCGTTTTACGTTCCCATCAAGAGTGCACAAGAGGGCTTCCCTGGCGGCGCAGTGGTTGAGAGTCCGCCTGCCGATGCAGGGGAACGGGTTCGTGCCCCGGTCCGGGAGGATCGCACATGCCGCGGAGCGGCTGGGCCCGTGAGCCATGGCCGCTGAGCCTGCGCGTCCGGAGCCTGTGCTCCGCAACGGGAGAGGCCACAGCAGTGAGAGGCCCGTGTACCGCAAAAAAAAAAAAAAAAAAACATAAAAAGAGTGGACGAGAGGTACAATTTCTCTACATCCTCAACGACGTGTTATTTCCTGGTTTTTGACAGTAGCTACCGTAATGGGTGTGAAGTGATATCTTGTGCTTTTGATTCGCATTTCCTTGACGATTAATGTTGTTGAGCATCATTTCACATGCTTACTGGCCATTTGTATATCTTATTTGAAGAAGCGTCTATTCAAGTCCTTTGCCAATTTTAATCAGATTCTTTTGGTTTTGGATATTGAATTGAGGAGCTCTTTCTGTCGTCTGGATGTGAGCCCCCATCAGATACGTGGTTTGCAGATATTTTCTCCCTTGTGTAGGTTACCTTTCACCCTATGGATGGTTTCTGTGGTGGCATAGAAGTTTCAAGTTTAATGTAATCCCACTTGTTTATATTTGCTTTTGTAGCCTGTGCTTTTGGTGTCATTTGCAAGAAATCATTGCCAAACCCTACGTCATGAAGATTTCCCCCTATGTTTTCTTCTAGGAATTTTATAGTTTCAAGTCTTTCGTTCAGCTCCTTGATCCATTTTGAGTTAATTTTTGTAGATGGTGGGAAGTCAGGGTCCAGGTTCACTCTTTGGCATGTGGAGATCCAGCTTTCCCAACCCATTTGTTGAAAGGATTGTCCTTTGCTCCATTGCATTCAGTGGTTCAACCACATGGTCTTGTCGAGGATGGTTTGACCGTATATGCAAGGGTTATTTCTGGATTCTCTATTCCGTCCCATGGGTCTGTGTGTCTGTCTTTCTGCCACCATCACCCTGTTTGTGAGCCATTAGCTCTTTTTAAAGGGTGTGGCATTTGCCTTTGTCTTTAGTGATATGCGCCTTAAGCTGCTCCCACTTTTCCTCCAACTTTGAATGAAGCAAGTGCCCTTCAGATTTGGTGGCAGGTAATGACCACAGAGACCTTACAAAGGGAGACTGTGCCAAGTGCTCTCCTGAGCACTGTCAGGTCACTGTCCGTAGTGGAACCTCCCCCAGTCTCCCCTGCCCGGGAGCCGAGACACCACCTCCAGGAAGCCCACGTGAATGCAGCACTCAGCATCCCACGTCCTGCACATCTCAGTGAGGGAAGATCAAGCCATTGAGGGAGAGCGTGGCCCAGCCACAGAGTCTCCAGCAAGACGAGGTCGCGTTCCACAGGCAGTGAGCCATGGGCCCCTGGCGCCCAGACAGCCCTCTTGGATCCAAACGCCACAGGCGTTTCCCACGCGCAACCCAGACGTCTGGAAATGATGACGTGGCCCTGGCAGGTTTCATTATTTCCTTCTCTTAACACCCAGAAGAATTCACGCCAATTGGGGACCAAAGGACCAAAGGCCTACGGAACAGCCAGCATGAGTCTCAACAAGCCAGGACCCACTGATGGGAAGGGTCTCGCTCAGGTCAGGGACTTTGTCCGAGGGATTTCTGAGCGTCCCTGGACGCAGCTCTTTCTCAGGAGAGCCACAGCTCTGCCAGGAGAGTCGCTAGAAGTCTCCACCGATGCCAGTGAGGCTTCAGAAGGGACATGGGCTGCACCCAAGGAAGGGGCAGGGTCTGCTTCCTGCAGTGGGACTGACAGTTACCCCTCCCGGTGCTCCAGTGTCCCCAGGTGTGAGGTGGGGTCGGAGGGCGCCCCTCGAGGGGGTTGGTTGCGAAGTGAGTGCAGATAAGCAAACGGCATAAATCCTGCTTTTATCTTCTTCCCCGGAACGTTAGAAAGCCCCTGCTCACTCACAGGCCTTCCAGAAGGAGATCCGGGCATAACCTCTGCAGCTCCTGTCCAAAGATTTGAGCCTTCGGATTTTCCTTGGATGTCACAGAAGTTAGGGAGGATTGCATGTCAGGTCTGTTTTTCCCCTTAAAGGAAAATGCATTAGACAGCCAGGGCCACCATGACAAAGTCCCAGAGTCTGGAAAGCGTAAACAGCCAGATTGACTGTCCCCAGTCCTGGAGGCTGGAATCCGAGGTCCAGGTGTGGGCAGGGCTGGTTCCTCCTGAGGCCTCTCTCCTCGGCGTGTAGACGGCCGACTTCTCCCTGTGTCCTCACATGGCCATCCCTCTGTGTGTGTCTGTGTCCTGAACTCCTCTTTGTATAAGGACACCAGTCACATTGGACTAGGGCCCCACCCTAGTGACCTCATTTTACCTTAATCGCCTCTCTAAAAGCCCAGACACAGCCACTCTCTGAGGTGCCGGGGGTCAGGACTCCAAGGCAGGAATTTTGAGGGGACACAATTCAGCCCGTAACACGGAGCTTTGGTCTCAGCCACACAGCCGGGGACCCCGACTGCTCCCCCTTCCTGCCCACTTGCCCAGATTGCTTCTTGGTGCCTGCAGGTTTGCGGTCTCTGCAGGCTTTGCCCGGGTCCTCCTGCGGGGGCCGCTGATACGTCTGACCAAGCTAGCGCTATCTGTCTCTAGGTCTGAGTTTCTCCGTCATCACGGGGGACCGGCTGCACTGCAGGGTCGTGGGAGGGAAAGGGAAAGGGAATCAGACAAGCTGGGGAAAAGGCCCTCTGGCTTCCATCTGTAGGTGAGGGCGGGCAGCCAGCACGGCCCACAAAGACCCTGCCGGTGCCTGGCTGAGCCCCAGTCGCCTTCCAGAAGCTGCTCTGTGGGCCTCAAGGAAACCGTCATGAGACAGACAGACGGACACTCAAGCAACAACAGGACAGATCAGGAGGGGCCCATGGGCCCCTTGCCTGTCCCTCCAGCACAGGCCCCTCGCTCCCACCTCGGGCCCTGGTCCTCGCTGTCCCTCGTGCCCACGTGCCGCTGCACGTCCTCAGCCACCTCCACCACCACCCACCCGCGCGAGGCCCCTCCCCTCCTCCTGGGCCCACAGCTGGTCTGGCTGTGGTTCGCTACACTCTGCGTTCTTGGCGGGTATTAGTATTCCCTCCACTGGGATGTAAGCTCCTGGGGGTGGGGGCTGTCCTGCTCACTACCCACTCCCAGTGCCTCGACACCCGTCTGCAAATAGTGACATCTGTCTGCTCTGTGAATGTGGGTTGAAGGTACCGGGACAGGGATACTCGGGGTGAGCAGGGGGAGGAGAGTCTGATGGAGTGTGTTGGGGGGAATCCCAGGAAGGCATCCTGGAGGAAGTGACAACCTCCAGAAGAGCAGGCGTTACTCAGATGGAAAGGCTCAGGAAGGGTGTTCCAGGTGGAGGGAACAGCATATGCAAAGACCTGGAGGGGAGAGAGCGGGATGGAAGAACTGGAAGACACAGAGCTCAGCCGGGGGTGGGCGAGGGGGTGACCTGGAAGAGTTACGCAGGCCTTGGGACACCCAGCACCTCACCATACACCCCCACCTATGTCTAACCCTGCAGCTCATAGACGAGCACTGATGGGCTTCTGACACCCACTGCAGCCACTGCCCCGGCACGTGCCAGCTGCCCACACACCTAGGGTGCAGGAACCAGAATCTTCTCACTTCCCCCACTCTGGTGCTGGGGAAATGTCCTTCATCCATTTTCCAAAGAAAAAATTTCTTTTCCCCTTTCCATATAGCTGGAAGGCCTAAGGTAGACAGTACATCACAGGGGTATTTTTTAGGTGTTTCCAAACTTTAGCACTTTAAAAACGTAAATATTTAAAGAGGTTCACCATTTGCCTCATCGATGAAAGGCCGAGAGATGTATTCTTAGATCACTTCCTAAAAATTAGCAGAGCACAGAGTGCTGACTCATTTGTGCACCTCAAAGTTTCAACAGATGCTTCTGTTGTAAACAGAATTGTTGCCTGCCGGAGATATTTTTATTGGGATTGGTATCTACTCATCCATCCATTTGTTCATAAATTTATCCAACCATCTGTCCATCCAACCATCCATCCATCCATTTGTCCATGTATTCATCCATCCATCCATCCATCCATCTATCCAACCCTCCATCCTTCCATCCACCTCTCCATTTGTCCATATATTCATCCATCCATCCATCCATCTATCCAACCCTCCATCCTTCCATCCAACCCTCCATCCTTCCATCCAGCCTTTCATTCACACTGGGTATTGTGGTCCCACCAGAGAACAAGACTGTCCCCTGGCCTCAAAGAGTTCACAATCTAGTGGGGAAGACAGAAAACAGGCAGCAATATTACATATATTTCCAACTGGAAGGGGTGTAATGAAGAAAAAGAAAGGTGCTTTGAGAGTTTATACTAGAGGAATCTGACCCAGCTTGGGATCAGGAAAACCTTTCCCAAGGAAAAAACAAACTTAAGCTGGAACCTGAAGGATGAGGAGTTTGCTCTGCAAAAAGGTAGAGAAAGTGTTTTAGGTGGTGGGAAGAGCAGGCACAAAGGCCCTGAGGCAGGTAAGTGTTTGGCATGTTCAAGCAACTGAAACAAAGTCAGAGAAGCTGTGGCAGAGTGGTCCAAGGCTAGAGAGGCCAAGAGGGGCTCAATCATGCTGTCTTCACGACCACATTATGAATTTGGACTTGATCTTAAGAGCACATGAGAAGCCAGGGAAGAATTGCAAATAGAGGAGGGCTAGGACCAGATTTGCCTTTTAAGTCAAGTTTTCATTGAATATACCATATGTAGAGAAAAGTGCACACGTCCTAAGCATATGCTAATTAGTCAGCTCAGGCTCCCATAACAAAACACCATAGACCGGGGGGCTTAAGCAGTAGAAATGTATTTCTCACAGTTCTGGAGGTTGGAAGTCCAAGATCAAAGTCCAGCAAGGCGGGGTTCTGGTGAGAGCTCCCTCCCTGGCTTGCAGACAGTCACCTTCTTACTGTGTCCTCACATGGCCTTTCTTCTGTGTCTCTCTGGTGTCCCTACAGGACTAGAGCACCACCCTTGAGGTTAATGATCTCATTTAACTTTAATTCCCCCCTTAAAGACTCTATCTCTGGGACTTCCCTGGTGGTCCAGTGGGTAAGACTCCATACTCCCAATGCAGGGGGCCCGGGTTCGATCCCTGGTCAGGGAACTAGATCCCACATGCATGCCGCAGCTAAGAAGCCCGCATGCCGCAACTAAAGATCCCGCATGCCTCAACAAAGATCCTGCGTCCGCAACTAAGACCCAGTGCAGCTAAAATAAATTTAAAAACAGACTCTGTCTCCAAATACAGTCACACTGGGGTTAGGGCTTCCACATGTGCCCTTCCACACGTGCCCACATTTGAGAACAACACAATTCCGCCCACAGCAGTACAAGTCAATGGATTTTCATAAAGGGAATGCACTCAGGTAACTGGTACTCAGGAAAGAAAAAGAATGTGACCTCCATATCCTCTCCGTGACCCCTTCCAGTCCGCCCCACCCCCAGCCGTTCCTGTGCCTTCCACCACCAGGGAACATTTTGCCTGGTTTTGAATCGTTACCAGTGGAAGCGGGCAGCAAACACTCCAGCACCTGGCTTCTTTGGCTCAGCATGTGCTGTGAGCCATGTCCTTGTAGCCCATGTGCCGTGCAGCTCATTCATTTCATTCCACGTGTTCCTGACGGTCCTGCTGCAGGCGGCGGGCTGAATTGAGGGCTATGGAGAGCAGGGCTGCTTCCTCTGGGCGTTCCATGCAGGGCTTTTGGTGAACACGTGAAAGCATCTCTGTTGGGAGTGGAATTGCTGAGTCAAAGGTGTGCTCAGATGGGGCTCTAGTAGACTATGCCTCAACACTTTCCAAAATCGCTCTACAAGTGATGCTCCCACCAGCATTGGCTACGGCAGCCAGGGTGGGGAGGCAGCGTAGGGCTGCTCCCGGAATCCAGAGGAGAGAGGGCGGTGGCCGAGGAGATCCAGACGTGTGGACCAGTGACAATTTGTAAGCCTTGCGCCCAGGGCTCTGCAGACCATCCTTATTTCATGAAAGGCCCGCAGCCCCTTTTATTTATAAGGTTTTGGGGCTACACTCTGTCTCTCCTGTCTTTTCATTGTTTCACTCTTGGACCCATGGTTGGGTGTTCCTGGCCGTAACCGTTTTCTAAAAAGTCTTAAAATCCTCAAGTGAAGGAGAAAAGCAGGTGAAATACCAGTGAGTTACCTTTTGGGGAATTTTCCCCCATCTCCTTTTGGCCCAGTTCCTAGATGTTGAGGACCTACTATGTGCAGGGCCCTTTTGGATAATCCAGGGGACTCAAATGTGCTCCTGGCCTCAGGGGGGTACCATCTAGAGGGGCTCCGGGCCGAGGCCAGGATGTGGCCCAGCAGACATTGAGCCCCATCTCTGTGCTGCTCTGTCACTATGGGGAGGGACCCCCACGGGAGGTCGAGAAGACCGTGGTCTTGGCGCTTCCAAGGACGGAAGCTTTCCTTTGCCGCTTTTGCTGAGCTCACTGTGATTGGCTCCTGGTGACGCCTGGTCCCGGCTTCCCACACCGCTGCTAACTCAGCCATCCAGCAAGCTTCTGTCACTCAGGCTCCGTCCTTCTCGTCCCGCTCATCACGGGGAAGATGACGCCACCACAAGGCAGCACCGGCTCGTGGCGCCTGGGGTCTGCTCGCCCTGTAGCCCTTTGAGGAGCAGAGAAAGGGAAGGAGAGAGGAAACAAGGCAGGGAGCACGTGACCCCACAGAGGTCAGGAGACATGCCCACGGCCGCACAGCTGCAGAGACTTTCCAAGGACACATTCCCCCCCCACCGCCCCTTTTTGTGGGGCAGCAGGAGGGTGACGGAAAGTCACCTCCAAGGATCTGCTCACATGACATCAACACAGAGGATGCACTGCTAGGTTTCACTGCTTTCCCAATTTGCATTTTAGCGAAAATAAGATGAAGTTGAGGAGACGGCTCTGGGAAGCAAAAAGAGCGATAGAAAATTGTGACTGCTTGTCTGTGCCTTTGACCCTGGATCTGGTGTCAAAGAGAAGAGGTGGTCCGAGCCTGCGTCCCTCGGCCTCACTTCAGTCATCTGATTTCAGCGGAAGGATGGAGGCAGGTCAGGGATGCTGAGGACGGAAAATGGCACGAGAGAGCAAAACCAGGACAGCATTAGGGACTGGCTCTGCTCCTTCCATGCCTGGGAGCTCCTGGGAGAGCCGGGGGTGCCTTTCAGCGGCAGCCTCATTTGTCTTCCTGAACGATTTTCTGCCCGGCTGTCAGGTCAGCGGACGAATTAAAGGGGGTCAAGGCCCAGGCCAGGCTGGCTGCACCCTGGACATTGTGGGCAAAGGAGAAGCGGACGGGGCCTGCGACGTGGGGTCTCTACCGTGTTCTGTTAGTGATCGGGCCACTTCCAGGTGGCAACTCTCTGCCCCCTAAACACACTGCCTGCTTCACCGCTGCCTTTCACACTGTCCATCTGACTTTCTTTTCCTGCTCTTTCTTCCCCACTAGAACGCAAGCCACCGCAAGCCAGGATTTTTGTCTGTTTTGTTCACTGCCTATTTCCCTAGAAATATGCCTGGCAACAAATCCTTGTCCAACAACTGAATTAACACACGGGCCAGGTGTATCTTGGGTCCTGATGCGGGGAGAGGGGTGTGGCCACTATATAAAGGTGGAAACCCAGATGTGTTTCCTCGCAAATCTAAGCGCCGCAAGACCCCAGGAGACAGCACTGCACCCTACACTGAATCATAAAAGCTAACCCTTTAGGAGCCAAAAGAAATTGTTTTTAAGCCCCGAGCCTATTTCCTGTTTGAATGAAGCTGTTTGCATGTAAAACTTGTCTCTGGTGTCCTCCTGGTGTCTCCGGGCAGGGCCCTGGTGGCTCTGGGCAGTTCTTGCCATTGCCAAGGGTGGTAACCCCCGGCCCACATGCTTGCGAGACACCCTCCTTTACCCCTTTGTGAAACGCCAACTCTTACAACTAGGGCCAGCTTCATAATTAGTGGGGTCCCTGCCAGAGTGAAAATGCCAGGTTCTGTTCACAAATTATGAAGAATTTCAAGATGGCAGCAGCAGAGAATTAAAGCCAGGGTCCTGGGGGCCTGTGCGGGACGTACCCCCGGGATGAAATCCACAGGACCCATGGCTGGTTCCACCCGACAGCCGCTCGCAGGCAGCGCCGGGCCGGGCTGTTTGCTGCTCCGTGCTCCCCGGTACTTTCTGCTCTGGGCTGCGCCCGCCCTTGCCGATCCCGCCTGTGTTTCAGGAGCAAGTCAGGTGGCCTTTGGCAGTGCTCACTAGCAGGTCCCCCTCCTCCCGGGGATGAGGATGGGTGGGCCTTCCTGGCCCCTCGTGAGCGGTGGGCCGTGGACTCATCCGGCTCTCATGTAGTGAGTGGAGAGGACATGGTCCCGTCTGGAAGGGAGCATTTCTGACTCTTTCTAGACTCCACGCCGGCCGGTGCCCAGCAACGTTTGGGGTGGTGACTGTCCCCTTGCCCGGATGCGGCATGACCACCTGGGTTGAATCAAGGGCCGTCCGATGGCTTGAGGACCGGCTGTTCGTTGCTGGGTGGAACCTGCCTATCTGATGAAGCCCCAGCGTGCTCGGAAGAGTGGGGAGCAGTCTGGGGCTCCCCCGAAGCCCACCCCTGTTGTGTTTAGGCCACACGCCAAGTATCCATTTGGCCATCTGTTCGGGAGTATTTATTGAGGGTCTGCTAAGTGCCGGGCTCGGAGCCAGGGCTGGGGATGTGGCCGTAAATAAGGCCGCTTTGGAATCGGCCGTGAAGTGGTTCCTCTTCCGGCAGGACACGCACACCTGGAGCCCAGGGAATTGCCAAATGCGGTCACATTAAGTGCTGCGAAGTCCATGGCACAGTGCAGGCGTGCGGCAGGGAGACCTGTCCTTGCCTGGGGGCCAGGGAGGGCTTCCTGGAGGAGGGGCCCCATTCACTGATTTATTCATTCCTTCAGTAAACACTGAGAACCTGTGCAGAGCCAGATCTGTGCAGGCTTGTGGGGCGGGCATTTAGCCGTGATCAAAACAGCACGCCTGTTCTCACGTATCTTGGGGTGCAGGGGAGAGAAGGAAGACCTTCCTACCCCCATATGCACGTGGAAGCAGAAAACGTAAGGCCGGGAGGGGTGTTCCAAAGGAAAATAAAGCAGGGAAACCATTACATTAAAGGAACAGGAGTCCAGAGGGGACAGCAGGAAAGGTCCCGTTTTTTCCCCACTGCCCCTTCAAACCTGGGCGTGCGGGAGCTGGCTCACACCTGCTCACACCAACTCACAAGAGCCAACTGTCTGTGTCTCTTCCCAGCTCTGCGTTCGGTGACGTCACACTGGGACCTTGAACTTGGCAGGGGTGGAAGAATTTACACCTCAGCCGTCAGCAAACGCTGTAAATCAGGTCTGATTTGTTTGGTTCCAGGAGCCCGTTTACCACCCACCAATGTCTGGGACTGGCTCTTCCCAGCCCCCCGGGGAATTCTAGGGCAGAGGCCCCATGACTTTCTGGTCACTGTCAGAAGAAAAGCTTTCCCAGCCCTGCTGAGTCACAAAAGCATGGTCTCATGAGGATAATTAAAGCGTCCGGTCCCCTGTGAGATTTCCCTAACCCTAACCCCTGCCTCTGCCTTCTCTCATTTCCTGGGTTCCTTCCCTCCCTCTGCCCACCCGTCTCTAGGCCGTTGGACCCTCCAGGGCTGGGGGAGGGGAAAGTGGGCTCCCAGCTGGGCTTGTATCTGAAGCTGACCCTCTTGAGCTGCTTTCGTGGGTTTGGGGCCCTGGTGTAATGAAAACATCCCACTCAGACCCCACTGAGCATCTGTCGCTGATAGTAACACACAGGGGCTCTTCACTCCTGGCTGGCTCCCTCCCAAGGGCCCACGTCCAGTCCACAGGACACTCTCTAACATCCTCACACCCCTCGTGCCCACGCTGTCCGTGGGGACAGTCACTGCTGCCCAGGACCCCCCAGCCAGCCTTCTGCCAGAGACGCTTTGAAGCACAAGGGCAGAGTCTGGTCCACCCTCCCTGCGAGTCCAGGGACCTGACCAAGCCCCCAAGGGGTCTTCTCGTTGCCCAGCTTCAGGCAGGGGGGCAGCTCTTCACTCAAGACAGATGTCTCCCAATACACCTTCTCTCCTTGCCCACTGTAACTCCAGCCCTCTTCCACCCTGGAGGACGGTGTCCAGCTGAGGGTCCCCAGAGGGGTGCTGGCCACCTCCTTGCTGAGTGATATTCAAGCAGGAGTCATTAGCTTAAATCAGAACGAGGCACATTAAAAGACTCGATGATTCGAAGAAACCAGGGGCTACCTTCACAGGCAAGGAGGCTGTGATACGCTGCTGGCGTAACGGCTGCTCCTTCCTTACTACCGGTCTGTTTATTGAGTGGGTACTTTGAGCGAGGCGTGGCGCCGGCTGCTTCCTTTACACACGTCAGCCCTGGCACCGGGACACCTCCTGTGAAAATTAGTACTGACTTTTTTTTTTTTTGCGGTACGCGGGCCTCTCACTGTCATGGCCTCTCCCGTTGCGGAGCGCAGGCTCAGCGGCCATGGCTCACGGGCCCAGCCGCTCCGCGGCATGTGGGATCCTCCCGGACCGGGACACGAACCCGCGTCCCCTGCATCGGCAGGCGGACTCTCAACCACTGCGCCACCGGGGAAGCCCAGTACTTACTTGTCAGAGAAGTCAAACGGCTTGCCCAGGCTCACCCAGCTGCTAAGGGAGAGCAAGATTCGAGCCCTCATCTTCCTGACTCCCCTGTTAGTGTTCCCTCACCATGTCACCAAGGTCAAGGAAAGTGAGGGACCTTTCTGTCGTCCCACTTAAGCTGAGACCCTCCACTTCATCGTAGATTTCTCCCAGCCCCGCTGGACACAAGGAAGCACCATCTTCACAGAGTGTTCTTTCGACCTGTATTTTAGCCCCACTTCTTCGTTTTTCAACTATATATACATTTCAGTTTTTAGAATAGGGAGTGTTTTGTTTTTTGGGTTTTTTTTTTAGCTCTATCAGAAGAGATTAAACAGAGACCGAATGGAAAATGAAGTATATTTTAAAATAAACCAACAACTTAGTTCACATTCTCCCCCGGAACCTGCAACCATTTCGAGCAGCCTCTTATTTTTTTATTTTTTTATTTTTTAGCCTCATTATTTTTAATGCGTCCACTTCCTCGGCCTGCTCACCCCCTCTGTTTTCCCATGTTAATCGTCTGAGAAATCCCAGTGGTGAGATTTATCCAACGCCGGCCAGTGGCTGGGCGAGGCCCCAGGAGCCAGCTCTTGCCCAGGGAGGCTCCAGAGACGTGAAGTGAGAACCCATGACCCCTGCACGCCGTCCCGTTCCCCTGTGTCCCCGGGTGGCATTGACATTGAAAGTCAGGAGCGTGTGAACCGAGGCTGCTCAGAGCATTTGAAAACCCAAGCTGCCGTCACGTGAGAGCTTGTTTCCCCCAAAAGCCTGGATGTCAGAAGAAGCAAGGGAATGGGATGGAGCACAGGTATGCCGTCCTGGCCCTTTGACATTTCATGTCACTTTGAGGCAGAACTCCGGAGAAAAACAAGGTTTTCTGAGACTGGACCGCAGACGGCCTCAGGGTGGGCAAGACACCAGCTTCCCTTTGCGACCTATTGAGGTCGGGGTCATCCTCTGCTTTACCCTCTTTATGTTGAAAAGCCCTAGAGGGTAGGACTCGGTCTCGCCCCTTGGCTGCTGTGTCCCCAGTACCCATATCGGCCTGGAACGCAGTAGATACTCAATAAACATTTACTGAATGAGCGAAGGCAGGAATGGCCCTAGAGATTGTCAACTCCGGTTTCTTCTTTATCCACATTTGGATGTGTCCACACTTAGCAGGTGGGGTGGGCAGAATAGCAGCCTCCTGAATGTCCACGCCCTGATCCCTGGAACGTGTGAATATCTTTCATCACGTGTGAAGGCAGAATGCAGGTGGCCGCTGGAAAGAGGTTGCGGCAGAGACGGACCGACCGCTCAGATCCGACTCTCAGACCTCGTGTGCAGAGAGTATCCAGTGCGCAACGGGGATATTGAGAGCACAGCCATGCGTGCAGCAGGCCCTGTACCCAACCCGCTGTGATCAGCTGGTACCGGATGTGGAACCAGTCCGGCGCAGGCAAAACGTTTCGGGGGCACAGTTGTCTATACAAGTGTCAAGGAACCGAAGGTAAAGCAAGGCTCCAAGACGCCCCCCCGGGGTCTGAGGCCTCGGCACCGCTCGACCAAATGACCCCGGGAGCCCTGACCCTAGGGTGCCCCCCAAATGCAGCCAAGGGTGAGAGGAGACTCTAGCATCAGTCCCCACAAACGTCCAGGTACTGCACTATGACGGTGCAGTTCCCACCTCACCTGCGCCGCGCCCAGGTTATTGAGTAAAGCACTTATAATATCATTAAAAAAAAGATCCCAGAGCCGTTGTAACAAACCACCATAAAACAACACACATTTAATATCTTACAGTTCCGGAAGTCAGGAGTCTGAAATGGGTCTTGCTGGGCTAAAGCAAGGCATCGGCGCAAATCTCTAGGAAGAAGCCCTCTGATCAGCTGATCTTGGGGTGGGGAGATTACTCTGCATGATGCGACTGGGGCCCGTGGAATCCCAGGGTCCTTAAAGAAGGAGGCAGGAGAGTCAGAGCCAGAGGGGATGTGACAGTGGGTCAGGGTGGCAGTGACTGACTTTGAGGATGGAAGCAGGGGCCATGAGACAAGGATGCTGGCAGCCTCCGGAAGCTGGCGAAGACCAGGAAACAAATTCTTCCCTAGAGGTTTGTGTCGACGCCTTGCTTTTGGCCCAGCAAGACCGGTTTCAGACTCCTGACTCCCAGCACTGTAAGAGAGTAGGTGTGTTTTGTTTTATGGTGATTCGTTCCAGCAGCTCCGGGAAACTCTCGCTGCGTTAGGCATTAAGGGGAGAGGTGTTCTGAGGCTTCGGTGCTGAGTGCATGCACCAGGACAGACAACCCCCGTCCTCAGGAGCTGACCAGTCTGGGGGCGCCTGCATTAAACCAAGCTGGGTCCATTTCTGGATAGCATGTCTTTTCTGATGCTAACATACATGATGAATGCCCACAAGAAAGGTGCAGTGCGGACTTCCCCAAATTTAGGTGACCACGGAACGCTTTGAATGGGGACAAGGTCACATGGTTTTCCTCCAGGGTGAGGTCGGACCAGCACTGAGATGTCCCGGTCTCTGCCAAAGTCAGGGCTTGGGGAGGCTGGCTTTTGTTCTTTCTGGTTATAGAGTCACAGCCTCATGCCCAGACCGCAAGACGACCCAAATGGGAAGATCTGTTTATTTTAAGAAATGCCAAATATTTAAACCACGGCTAGATGGCTTAAAATAATAAAGGTTCTGTTAATGAATTCATGTAGAACTTTCTTTCCCAGAATCTTTATAAGAGTGTGTGTCTCTGCCCCAGGCCATCTGTGAGCTGAGAGTCAAAGAAAGAAGATGGCCGCTGAGAGGGAGATGAGGAAGAAACCAGGGCTGCCGTTAGTTGGTGCTTTACATGTGGGGTTGTTCACCAGATAGAGACTGAACAAGAGAACACAGGTGGGTCAGTATAACCCCTCTGTACTCTTCAGGTCTGTTTGGATTGTAAGTGAAAGAAGGCAAGCTTCAGGAATAGCTGGATCCAGGCGCTCAATGTCTCCAAACTTTATCTTTCTCCATCTCTTGGCTCTGTTGTTCTTTGGATTGGGTCCACCCACAGGAAGATTCTCTCGGTAACCAAATGATAAGCACACCTCCTGGCCTCCCCCCTGTGCAACCCCAGGGAACCGAGAACATTTGTCCCCTGTGCCCTCCCGCTGGAGTCCCAAGGTTAGCTCTGATTGTACTGACTTGGGTCAGGTCTGTGATCATTCCTGAATGAGTCACTATGACCTGGGGGATGCTAAGCTGTAACTGGCCGGAAGCAGGCCCTGTGGCCACTCCTGGAGCCCTGGTGGGGGTGGGGGTGGGGGTGGGGGTGGGGGTGGTCCACTGCCCCGAACCATGTAGGCCGAGAGGGAACGGTAGTGGTTCCTCAAGGAAGTCCAGAGTGTCAAAGGCAGGGAATAGAAGCTGGCGGAGGACACTCACGCGGGGGGCTGGGTCCACCCCATAGAGAATAACTTCTCTTCAAGGGGTCCCTCGGACAATGGCCAAAAGAACTATAACAGCCCAGCTTTCTCATGTCTGACAGACTGGCACTGTGCCAGGGGCCCCACGAGCACAGTCTGCTTTCATTCTTGCAACAACTGTGGGACGTCGGGGTTCACGGCCCTCCACCCGGTTCACAGAGGAGGAAACTGAGGTTCAGAGACATCCGTTCTGACCCAGGACCCCAAGTTCTTAACCACTGCCATGACCCGTGTCTTGTCCGAGCTGCACGTGCTCAGAGAGGTCTCTGTGCACAGACACCCAGGCTCAGCTGACAGCTGGGTCAGGACTGGGTGCATTCTGTGGCCAGAGCTGTGTCCACTGGGGGGGAGGACCTGGCCCACCGTTGGTCTCTTGAGTCACATACGGAGG